TTGAAACTTGGATGACTTGGCAAATAACTCGCTTTGGGTAGAAATCATTTTGTTCTACTTTTGTTCAGTTGTGAGATTGGAACAGTGCATATTATGGTAGGGGTTTGACAGAAATATATTTTATTTGTACCAGAGCAAATGGGGCCTTTCTTGTTCAAATTCCCTTGCTGTAAATATACCTACACAGGAACATTTTTCGTCGTTAGATGTCTGTTGTGTGTTAAATAGTTTTGTTTAACATCTTTCTAAGCTCGTAGCGAGTCATGCCATTCTACTTTAGGCCACGCCAAGGAAATTTTATGGATGACGTCCGCGCGCGCATTGACTTTGGCCTGTTCCTAGGAAAAAACAACAACAAGAAATTCCGCTTCCTGTAACTATGACCTAAGACCTAAGAGTCACGACAGTGCTACAAATAGTTAGGTTGACGTGAAACCCGTAACGCGAAATGGGTAAAGAGGCCATGCTTTGTTTCTGCAGGCCTGCAAAAATGTGATGAAAGAAACAGGACAGGACGACAACTGCTGTTCCACCTGATTTATTGCTGTTTTGATGACGAATAAAAGACTTCTTGCTTGTTACACTGTGTCACCTCATTCAATTTGTGTCCTAACATTTGTCGTCTCTTAGTATATTTCTAATCTAGGCATCTTGTTTTTAGGGCCCTTCTTGTTTTTTTTCGCCCTTTCGCATTAGATTTAGGGTCTCTAAAGGACGTCATCCATAAAATTTACTTGGTGTGGCCTTAACGAAGACTGCTGTGGAGAGTTGCGTTCTTTCTCATGACACTGCACGCACCCGACAGGCGCTTTGGTCTGTAAGACTGATTGTGGCATATCCAATTTCGATCGACCCGGACCTGCACGTAATGCACCGTGTGGTGTTATTTACTTATCAGAAGAACCCGGGCTTTGCATCTGTCGGTCCCATCCGGGCGCCCTGCCGTCCTGCGCTAACAATTAATGGCTTTAAAGTCCCTCCTGTCGAAATGAATCTTTGTTTTACAGTAAATTACAGTTCCCTAGTAGGATCGATGTGACACAGTTTGTCTTCTCATACACAACCTTAACATGTCAATGTACTATCATAATTTAACACTACATTACGTTCGGTTCGGGAATGCTATTGGTGATTTTGAAATAGATTACGTACATCAAACAGAAAGCTCGATATTCCCCTCTCCTATCGGTAGAAGGGAAACATGCAGCTTACTGTGTTTCCTGGGTCTGGGCCCCGTACTGGTCCTGACATACCCAGAGGAGGAAATGTCCAAGGACTATCAAGTTATGATACAATGTTAGGCCACAGCAAGTAATTTTTATGGATGACATCAGCGTGCGCATTAATTTTTGCCTGATTTTGGAAAAAAAATTTTTGTTACCTTCTGACAGTGGTCAACATGCCGAAAATGGGCAAAGATGTCTGTTGACATGCCGGAGGTGGATGACAGATAACTATAAAGAGAGGAGACAAGAAAAAGCTCTGATTTAATGTTTTGTTTCTTACTTTGATGCAGTCATATGTGATGTTGGCTGTGAATATGTAATGTTCCTACTGAATCTAAACCATTTGTACAATGATTCAGTTAAAATTTCAAAATGTAGGAACCTTGTTTTTTTCGGCCCGCCTTGTTTTTTTTTCGCCCCCTCGCATTAGATTTGGATTCTGCGGAGGATGTCATCCATAAAATTTACAGGGTGTGGCCTTAACCCGAGATATGTCTTCAAACTCAACAAACGTACAAACAGATAAAATCTTGAAACAACAACGAATCAACTAAATAATTTTAGGATTTCTTCGCCTGTGAATCAGTGTGCCAAAGTTTATTGTTCCAATGAAAACGTAACCCACACTTTTAGTCATTTATCGTGCCAAGGTCGAGGATTCAGATCTGATCGGATTTCGAGGCTCTCTGGAAATGTTGTTTCACGTCACCGGCTAGCCAGGCCTGTCTCAACAAGGGAAACAGAAGCTGCGGGTATTTCCCTTCTTCCAGCGTGTCGCATTTTACTAGGTCATTGGCCACAAGATAAACAAGTGCTTTTGGAAAAAGCTGCTATTTTTGTCGCAATGAAAAGGCTTACAGTTTTTACGAACTGGTGGATGGCTGAGGAGTATATGGTGGTGGAACGTACCGTAGTGCAATGCAGTCTAGCATTTTCCCCATCCTAGCTTTTCAATGTACCTAAGTTATATAAATGTTTCTAGTTCTCATTAATATTGTATATAATGATAGCACATGCACTTGTATATTTCAAATCTTTAAAACATTACAAAACTCTAGTATATAACAGTTAATAACCTGTTTTATCACTTTTAAGAGTCTTATTAACAGAATAATGAGACACAAAAGTACATTTTAACTTAAGTAAATAATATTATTCAAAATCTCTTCTATGACTTTGTCCCCAAAAAAGAGTTCGTCCAGAAGGCAGGGGAAGAATAACTGCAAGAAAGAAGAAACATGACATAAAACAATATATGAACTATGGAGTTAAAAATCAAGGGGACGGAGTGAAATCACCATCGATTGTATCATTTTGGGGATTGTGACACCGGCTTGCCTCTTCGTATACAAGTGTTGAATAGTTCTGCCAGTTCTCTCTATTGTCACTGAAGGAAAAGTTAACGTTATGAATGTCACTCAGATCTCCAGATTTTATCTAGTAGTATCTAGTTAATTTATCTAGTAGAGTTTACATTGTTTGCGAGTATGGTTTACCTGGATGAATAACCTTCATCACGATAGGGTGACTGTTTTCTGTAAACATTATATATATGACGGACACCCAACATTCCTTTTTGTGCCAGCATTTAAATCATAGTATCGCATTAGACTTCAACGTCGTTTGCAGGATATTTACATCCAAGAATACCGTACTTCTGTTCAAAACAACTCAAAACTTTCTGTCTATTCGATGTTAAAGACGAGGTAGGGACAAGAAAATTACCTTTCTGAAATACAGAATTTTGAAGTTCGTAGATCGAGTACAAAGATGAGAATTTCTAGCCATAAATTGAATATAGAATTCGGAAGATATAAAAAAATACCTCGCTACCAGAGGTTTTGTCCATTCTGTCCCAATGATATTGAAGACGAACAACATTTTATTTTGAAGTGTACACTATATAATGATAAACGCACAAAGCTGTTCAACCTTCTCTCCGCTTGTTCAACAAAATTTGTTACATTTCATGCTATAGATAAATCTAATTTCATCCTAGAAGGTAATAACCCTTACTGTGTACAAATAGGTAAATATATCCAAGAATGTTTAAACCTTAGAACATGTAGTATTAGTTGACCCACCTATTGTTCTGTACGTAGGATAATTGCGTTGTACCCATCCATGTATATTTGTCTGTATATCTACATGTCTTAGACCTTACAAAGTCACCGTGTACTTTTTGTACTCACTATCACATTTTACCTTGTTCTCACTATCACATTTTACCTTTGACCTTGCAGACGTTCATGGTTGTCGGCAAGAAGGGAGAAATAGCGAGGTTCAGCGCAACAAATGGACTGTGGATCCTGTCGCCTTTCAACCCCATCCGGGGGTTGGCATTGTACATACTTGTACATCCATATCCTTTTCGTATGACCCATCGCATAGGCTCAATAGTTTTTGCCATACATTTTTGTACAATGTACAATTACCGTGCAATAAAGTTCTTCAATAATAGACGGAACTGGCATACACTGTTTGGAACTATTCATCCTGTAAGTCTCAAGACTCAAGAATTATTTATTGATCAATGGCAGTAAACTTAAGACAAGTTACTGAATTGCGAATCAATGTACATTTCATTATTTTAGAATCCAAAAGTTTATAGTATTGCACATAATGAAGTTAAAATTATATGATAGTAAATAAGTGCGATCATTTACTACGGACTGACCTCATGTCATGGCGGGTGGAGCACGTGGCAACTCTTACAGGACAACAGATTTACGTTGTCGTGTGGTGGGTTCCTTTGCTCATTAAAAATGTACTGTTAACTGAAGAATAAGTACACACGCACACGCGCATGTAAAATGTGTTGAATTGTAACGTTAGGTAACCAGTGGAATGGGAAGACAGATGGATATGCGAGTGCTTGCGCACACACGTGCATAGTTCATTATAATAGTCTTGAACACAATTATTGCGACAGAAACACTAAATAAGACATCTTAAAATGTCTTTCTTTTGCTGTAATATACCAATAAGCTTTGTGACTTACACGAGGTTTCTAACAGGCTGTATCACGCCGCCATTCGGAGATTACAGATAAAACACCGGGAGACCTGGCAGGGCTTCAACGATCGAGACTAGGGTAATCATTCTGGCTGATGATGTGTATGTCTACATTGGATTGGCTTCATCTTATTTGTTGTGTTGGTAGAGTGTGGCAAAAACTAAAAACGATTGGATTTGGCTTGCTTAACTCGTGTTCTGGATATGCTAGAGGTGCTAGAGGAAGTGACATTAGTTTGGGTGTTCTAGATCTGTATAGCCATTTTTTTAATCACTCAAAGAGGATAACTGAAAAAGGAACAATGGTTTGTTATGATTGTGGTTATGACAGAGTTTGAGATGACAAAGATGTACAAAATGAAAAGCAAATTATACCAATAAGGGCTACATTTGCACAAATTAATTGGGAAATTCTCTCATGAAGTATTTTAGATGTAGCCATTGTCCTGGCTATGTTATGATTTTTATGACACCCAGTTGTGACGTCAAGACAAAGTGATATAGGTTTGGGCTCCTTAACAGTTAATTTTGTAACTGCACATTTTGTCAGAATTTCCTAACGGAATGACTGAGGAAAGGAAGAACGGACTTCCATCACTTTAAGCATGCAGATATCTAAAACTGAAATATCATGGCCGGATCCCAGGAAACTTTGGATGTCTGAATACCTGACGCTGCCTGCATCTTAGCCACTCCTCGATACAGACCTTGCCTCGCAGTTTCATTAACGTCGTACACAGCGTTCAAATCTTGTCTACCTATACATGTATGTGTACATCTGTAGATGAAGGTTATCGTCCATCACTTTCAATAGGTGCCTCCTAAAAGAATTATGCCTTGTAACTATATCTTGTTTCCATATAGTTCTTGTCTAATTTGTTTCACACTAGTGTTATGCCAACAGTTCCTTGAGCTGCCAGACACAACCTATCAACTTCGCCGACGAACATCCAGCTACAAAGTCCCACGTAGTCAAACTGAGAGACATACATTTGATTTGATTTGATTTATTGGGATTGCAAACAGATACAATACTCGTGGGCCACAGGCAGCGGGGGCTGGTGTTGTGGCCCACACACAAAACAATCATAAGCACACAAACAAGACACACATTTAAACCTAATATAAGTACATAAAAATAAGTATAAGGGTACTAGAAACAGCATAGATTAGGACACAGTCGTGTTCTTTATCCCTAGAACTCTCAAAATCATGTAGCAGATATAGAGGGCTAGACTAGAGAAATAGACTCAAGATTTCTGCAGAATACTTTTTATATTTAGTGTGTTTTATTTCTGATTTTAAGGTAGACGTAATGATCTAGATAATTATCGAATGTCAAGGATATTCTGAGTAATCATTTTTATTCATTCTTTTAATGCTGAAATGATGACAATGTCTTGTTACAATCATCTGTAAATTATAGCACAATTCAGACTGTTTCAGCATGCGATGTTGTTTTGATAGATAAAGTTCCTAAGTCAATAAACCATATTTTGAACTTAACCAGTTTTACGTGGTTCAGTCTGTTGGTGATGCTGGCTATTCTGGCGAACTGTGTTTTCATGACGATGACCGCCCCACCAGAGATCACGGAGTAAGTACTCTCATTTTAGTAAGTGTTTGTTGCAAAAGTCCTCATTTTGTGGGACAAATGCATAATTTTTATCCACAAACATGTGTCTTGAGGGTGATAGTTCCAATCTTTCCCATTGTTAGATTATTGGGAAGACAAATGTTAAGGTCAGTTATGGAGCTCTTGTCGGATTTCATTGGTATTGCAACCGTTTTTTGTATTGTTTTTGTCTTGGACATGCCATGCTCATTAATATTTTTGTGGCAGCTTAAAAATGTCAAAGTTTCTTATCAGCCCCATGTTAAAGACCAGTGTGAAACATCATTCTGAATATGGACTTTCATATTCATCCTTGATCCAACATTGATTTTTCAATCCCTCTCTTTAAGAATGGACTCATATCATTCTATGGTTCAGTTCAAAACACAAAAAATACGTTTCATAATCACCTTAGTTCAAAATTGAATTTGAAGAACATCGTCCCCATGTTCACGAATTGACTTTCCAATGACACCTGTGTTATATTATGTTATGTTATGTTATGCTATGCTATGCAATGCAATGCTATGCTATGCTATGCTATGCTATGCTAAGCTATGCTATGCGATGCGATGCGATGCGATGCTATGCTATGCTATGCAATGCAATGCTATGCTATGCTATGCTATGCAATGCAATGCAATGCAATGCAATGCTATGCTATGCTATGCAATGCAATGCAATGCAATGCTATGCTATGCTATTCTATGCTATGCAATGCTATGCTATGCTATGCTATGCAATTCTATGCTATGCTATGCTATGCTATGCAATGCAATGCTATGCAATGCAATGCAATGCAATGCAAAGCTATGCTATGCTATGCTATGCTATGCTATGCTATGCTATGTTATGCTATGCTATGCTATGCTATGCTATGCTATGCAATGCAATGCTATGCTATGCTATGCTATGCTATGCTATGGTATGCAATGCAATGCAATGCAATGCAATGCTATGCTATGCTATGTTATGCTATGCCATGCTATGCTATGCTATGCTATGTTTTAAGATGGATAGAATAGAAATACTGCACAGCATCACCAATACTGGTACATATATAGTGTACATTCATATATTCGGCAAAGTCATGCAGAGATTCGTCAGTACCCTACAGTGCCTTTTCTTTTTTAATTGTAATCCAATGTTCACAGTATAGTTGTATCGTTGTGATCCCGGCGTTTACAATAATAATAATAATAATAATAATCATGCCATTGTGTCACAGTTCGCTCTGTATAATACCGCCTACCACTCATCTCTTCATTTTACAATTTTAATTGTATAACATATTGAGATTATAATTATTAAGGCATACTGAGTTTTGCTCCCCATGCCATGCTGTATTGGCGTGTTACTGTTCGTCGACTTAAAAAGAATGAAAGTAGGTGCCGCTATCAACTACATTGTCATTGGCGACGGAAAACAAAAAATGATTTCCCACGCACTCTGCTGTACAGCTGCCATTTGTACTTTTAATTTGAAACAAATCTACCATCGTTTGTTCCCTTTCTCAGGAATGGCAAATTACCAATATGACAAGTTATCTTTTTAGCCAGGGAGCTACGTATCCTATCTGACATTGCACAAACCGTACAGGGGTATGGCAGAAATAAAAAGCGTTATTGGTATGTTACAGTATGAAGTTGTAAACCAAGAACAGGAGATTTGGTTTGGGAATTACCCAATAAAGACCGACGTGTTCAATGTCATTTCTTAATGCGGGACCAGTTCAAAACTTTATGATATCAAATTTACTGTTTCAGTTGAATTGTTGCGATGATCTGTTAATATGTTTTGTTGTGACTTTCAGATACGTATTTACCGGTATTTACTCATTCGAGATGATTGTAAAGATATTGGCAAGAGGTTTTATTCTAGAGCCATTCACATATCTCCGAGACGCCTGGAACTGGCTTGACTTCATTGTTATACTTTTAGCGTGAGTATACCTTACTTCTCACATGCTGCACATATATCATTTATACTATATTTGAGAGCACAGGTGTGTGTGTGTGTGTGTGTGTGTGTCTGTGTGTGTGTGTGTGTGTGTGTGTGTGTGTGTGTGTGTGTGTGTGTGTGTGTGTGTGTGTGTGTGTGTGTGTGCATGTGTTGTGTGTGTGTGTGTGTGTTGTTTTGTGTGTGTATGTATGTGTGTGTGTGTGCGCGCGTGTGTGTGTATATGTGTGTGTGTGTGTGTGTGTGTGTGTGTGTGTGTGTGTGT